TATTACTCTAAATAATGCACTGGAGGTTCTTGATGGAGAAAGAATGTTAAACATTTCAATCATACAACTTTAGTGTATGTAAGATTTTTAATTGTCTTTCACTTTTTAAAAATTCATATTATTACTTTTTAATATATGTACTTTACTTTATTATTATAGGTACATGAACACTATCATAGTGGACTAAGGTCGGGTAACCATGTATGGGTTTTTTGAACCTCAGGTCATTCAACCATCTGGAAACACACTAGAATACAAGCAATCATATATGCAAACATGGATGATTGAGTCTAAAAGAGAGTTGTATATCGCGTCATACATTGATGAGTATGTGTTACTCAATGTTGTCCACTTTTATCAACAATTAATTGATAGACTCACTATTTATTGGTACATGATAGGGGTCATTGACAAATGATGGTGATCATACCAAGACAAGCCAAAGTTTTATGGTTTTGTTCCTTGCATAGGAAGATGAAATCTGACTTAAAATCCTTATTACAAACGTAAGTATTACATTATTTCATATAAATTCATTCTGATATTATATTAACTTATGTTTCAAATTTGTTTAGAGTTGTGCGTAAGTCTAAAGCAAAGAAAATTGAAATAATTTATCCTAAAGTTGGCATTCATTGATCTTTAACTTATTAATTTTCGTATATGAAATTTAGAGTATCATATTTGACTACTTTGTTTGCCATGTTTAATGCAACAAGCAGATAGATTCCTAGGCATGCGAGTACTACATAATGTCATGGATAAAGAGCATCATTCGAGCATAAATTAAAAATGATTGGACAAGGTAATAATTTAGCTTTGAAATCTTACAAATCACAATCAACTTTTAACATTACAATGAAAATAATAGTAAAGTCTCCTTGTTTTGCATCCATCTTCATTAACAAATGAAACAATCAAAAAGCTAAGGTAAGAATGGACATGCTATCTTTTGGAAAAATGGAATTAGGATAGAATAATTTACTTTAAGTTCTTTTTGTTTTTATATTGATTACTTTAGTTTTTAGTTTTGATATAGTTTGAATTGTGAATAGATGAATTATGTATATATCAATTGTAAAAACTAGTTTTCTGATTTTCAAGCGTGGTCAAATTAAAAAAAATGAATCATTTATTAAAAAAACATACAAATGTGGGACTAAGCACTACCCGACGTTAAAATACATAAAAATACATAAATTGACGTTGACCTATACAATGGTCGATGTCAATTTACTTATAGTACCACTCAAAGAGAAAACATTCATTGAACGAAATTCTTTGGCTCAACAACCTTAACGTCAAACCCCTCCAAAGCCGATGTCAATTCGTCCACACCCATTAATCACCGCTAAGCGTGAGAGATTGGCGCTGGGCTCCATATGACGTCGAATGTTATATGGGTTCGACATCAGGTAACGTTGGCTTGTATAAGCCGACATTAAGCTAACGTTTTCTGATATGATGTCGGCCTCTTATTGGATGTTAAAGGCCTAAAATCATTGATGTCGAAACCCCTTTTTGCACCAATGTATATTGGAGCCCTTTGAGATAATTTCTAGGAGAAGGATTCTTCATGGCTTCAGCCTTAGTTTGCACCCACTTATAGACTATGAATTGGCCTTATCTCTAGTCGATGTGAGACTTCCAACACACCCTCACATTAATGCACTACAAGAAAAATGGCATTTATATACGGCCGAAATCCGTATATAACACCGAAAATCCGTATAAAAAGTGGTGTTATATACGGATTATATACGGTCAAAAATCCGTATATAAAAAGGTCGTAGGTAAGATTACATACGGATAATCCGTATATAATTTATATACGTAATATGGTTTCATGATTTAAACACTTGAATTCGTCACACAAATTCGACATCTATAGTGCTGGTTTAATCTTTCTATAATTGGTAATTATCTAATGGTGACAAATTCTTCTCCTATAATTGGAACTAATCAGTGTATGTATAGGATATTTGATAGGTCCTCTTTAACTGTGTAATTTCTAAAGGGTTGTAAATATAATTGGGATAAGAATCAAGGTTAAAATGTAAGGTCTGGGGCAATCAACAAACAAGAGCTAACATTTTTTTATAAACACCAGAACAACACATAAATTTATTACTGAAAAATGAACATAATATTACAAGATCTTACAACATAATATATCTTAAATTATAAAAACATGCAATACAGTCCTTTTCTGTATTCAGAAAGATGATTATGAGAGATAAGTTACTAAAACACAACCGTCATTGACATACAAGATTGAGTAATACCTGTAGGAGTATCGAATACAGCTAACAATCTCCTGCCAAGATCTTCAGCTAAGTTTAGTACTTAAAACTTGGTTTGAAGAGGCTGGACAAACATGAATTTCAGAAAATATGTCAATAAAAATCTTCCACAGGTGCACACATCCTAACAGTAAGAAAGAAGTTTATGTTTGTATCCAAACTAGTAGAAAACAAATACTTCTACATGTAATCATAAATAAAAAGATCAATCATTTCAAACATTAATCAAATTATCCGAAAAATCATTCTTAGTTCACATTACAAGACTTTTATCTTCATGTATTATCCGAAAAATCATTCTTAGTTCACATTGTTAACCTCCTTCACCACCAAACATACTAAATTTCAACATTTGTCTTACTTTCATAATTTATCTCTACAATTAGACAGATTTTTTCTTTCACTGTTGGTTAGTAAACATTCTTCATGCTCTATTCTATCTCACTTGTATGTATATATATAACTTTATAAAATTATAATTTCACTTAATATTAGTAAGAAAAGGAACCCTGACAGCATATATCAGTTCCTTATGATATGGAGGTCTGGACAACCTCAAAGACTTCCAAAGGGAAAACATGAAAACTATCACAAATATGGGTCACCTTTCTCATTTCTAATGTGACCCCTAGCTCTCATGTACCTAGCTTCACCATTGCTTAAGCCCAATTCATATACTACATCAAAAGAGGATACTTGTTGGACATAGCAGATGTCATAACTGAGGAGATTTAAAAGTTTCATGTTCTGAACCTAATGGCTTGGCCTGGAGACACACCCTTTCAAATGGGGGAATCTAGTGTAGTTATAGTGGACGACTCTTGTTTACAAATATAAACTATTTTGATTAATAGCTTGTGGTACATGCATGGATGTTGTTTTTTACAACTCATAATAACTTTGTTGTGTTGTTCTAACTTCTAATTCAGAAACAACAGCCTATTCACAGTACAGAGAAGAGCATATGGAGAATTATATGGTATTTGGTGAGTCATGGAACCTGATGAATATCCAATATTCGGTCCCAGCTCAACATTCAATAGGAACACCTGTTCCCATTCTTTCCCTCTACACCAAATGTAATGACAATGTACTTCCCATCTCCTTTGCTGTTACATACACCTTACTTACAGAGATCTCTCAAGCTTGAGAGCAATTTATCTTCAATTGGATTAAAAGGTTTTCCCAAAAACAAGGACGATACTATTCTATAGCAGAATCCTATATATATGCTGATATTTTGGATCTGCAGTTAGAACTTAGACCAAAACTTGGATACTTAATGGGAAATCACCATAATTGATATGGAAACAATTGTATTCGCCATGGCCAGTTTTCAGAAAGGCTCTCTTACAGCTATGCAGTAATGTGCTTGCCATCATTATGCTATCAGATAAAGGAGGAGAATATCTGCTCAAACTTCTCTTCATCATATCTATTTCCCCTTCAAATAAAATATTTTCTCTAATTTAAACAAAATATGACATAATGCAGAATACTTGGCTTGGTCATGGATTTCATTTCTTGGCCAGGAGAAACATTCTGCTAGTAGTACTAGTTGATCATTAGATTCATTATGGTCCTGGCTAGTTTTCTTTTATTTATTATTCAAATAAATAAATGAATAAAGGGACATCAGCCAAGTTGTATTCCATTCAGAAATTAGAAGTTAACTGATAGAACTGATATTAGAACAGAACAGAAAGATATTCTTTTATTGCTATCTGTACTCTAATCCCGTACCACCGTAGTAGGGAATAGAAACAAGGAACAAGATGAGTTTTGCACAACAATCAACTGAGGTTATTTGAGAAAACCCCACTCTCCACAATCCTTCTCGCTAAACCCATAAAACTGTCCACTCTCCTCATTAATAAGACTATTTATAATAGTTTGTTACACCTATTTAATTACAACTGTACCAACTACCTTGTCTTTTCCTTCTATTGTAAACTATATTGAACCTATCATTAACTAATCCCGACTTATAGCTTACTTCAAACAAGCATGTGTGAGTGGCAACATAAAGAAATGTTTCTCAAGATTATAAATAAAGTGCCAAATCAATACACCTGAACAATATAGGGTCAAAGAACAAAATTGTATGCTTGGTGTACGTTTGTATGCATATAACAAGCAAAGAAACAGAATCTCACATAAATTGTGAATATAATAGCAATGGCCATTATGGTCATCCCCAAGTGATCAGAAAAATCATTTATTAGTTTTCTGGCAACATAGACACAGAAAACTGCAACAGGAGCAGCAATAAGAAAAATTGTCAGGGTCAACGATCTTGCATAGTCTTCTGAACCAGAGGACTTCTTTGACTTTAAGATGGATGCATTATCTTGAGGAATCATTACTCAGGCTCTTTTCTTTGCTTTCAGATATCATATAATACATTGTATTAATTTTTATTTATTTATTTTTTATAGTTTGATGGGATGAGAGAAAAAGAAGATAAAGATGGGAACTAAACACACCAACGTATCTTTATCTTAACACTACTTTAACTGTAATAACTATCTCCATTATACCTAACTCATCATTTTCAATCCAAATCCATATCACTTCCTGTTTACCTCTTTTCTACCAATATTTTCCTTCCCACTACTTCTCATTCTAAACCTAACCAATAAATCAATTCAACTCCTCTTTTGTAACATCTTTACTCTCACTCTATATNTTATTTGTGTATGTTGATTTCAACGTTTACGCTGTTTTCGTTTGTAATTGAGAATTTCATTACCAACGGGATCTAGGTTTGTCGAATGGGGGTAGTATGGGAAATATGTCACGTTTAATTTCCGAAGTCTCGAACATGATTGTCTTCAATTCTTGTGTGGAATCAACAGAAAAAATGTCACATTTTTTTGTTTATGTCGAAGTTTTTTTATGGGACAGGGAACATGACAGCCAATGGCATTGAAAATGGAAAACAAACCACACGTTATAAGTTTCGAGGTGTTTTTGTTGAGGGTAATCAGACTAGTCTGTTTTCCTTAAGATCTGATCATTGAAACTTTTTCGATTAATTTTTCAGAATACATTCTGCTTTCGAAAATTATTGGTCGGTGATGATAGTTGCATACTGCAGGATTTATTCTACTTTCAGAATACATTCTGCTTTCGAAAATTATTGGTCGGTGATGATCGTTGCATACTGCAGGATTTATTTTGCTATTAATGGACATTACTTGTACTTGTTGACTGTATGCGAGTGCTGTTTTGTTTTATATTTGGTAGTTGATATCTGAGCGATTTATTCTGGCCGTATTGGAGATGGTTGGGTTGCTTGATATTTTTGTTTTCAAAGAATATGCGAAATAAGAGCTGTAAGTTACCCTCTGCTTTCATTATTTAATTGGTCAGAATAGATGGTAAAATTGGTTATCTTTGATACAATAATGAATTTTCTTGCATTTAATGATAATTTTGTGTGTGAAAAAGAATGTAATTTTTTAGTTGGTTGCGGTTCTTTAGGCCTCTTGATGCGGTATTTCATTTGCAATTTAACTTGTTGGATGTTAAAGCTGAATAATTATCTCTTTTAAAGGCCTCCTAATTTTAATACGTTTTTGATTGCTATTTGCATTTGAAGCTTGTACATTTCGTGTTCATGATAAAAAAAGTTGTTTGTGGGCTTGCAGAACCCAAAATATGTGATATTTAGTTTTTCCAAACACATAATCATCTTGTCACCTATTAGGTTTTAGAAATTTAGTCACTGAAGAAAAATGTAAAAGGTTATTGCTACAAAAAATATTCATGTTTGGAAATGTTAATTTAACAAATTTTGTATGACATCTCTCTCTTCTCTTCTCATAAATTGTTTCACATATCTAGAATCTCAAATTTGTGAAGAGGATGTTAGGACATAAATAACATTGTTAGGAAGCCCGTAGTGGTCAAGGGGTGTGTGTTGAGTTATCACAGTTATTTGTAGGATCTTTTTATGAGTATCTGTTAACAGTGTGTTAGTTAGTTAGGATTCTTGGACTGAAATTATTAGGAGGGGAGAGAGATGGAGTATTAGGTAGTATAAAGGGGTGAACTAAGGGAAGGAGTTCATTGGCAGTGACGGGTAGAGAGACAAGGATTATCAGCTTACTGGAGTTGAGATGAGACAGTTTCTTTTGTAATTATTGTAAGCATCCCATATCTATGATCTCCAATCTTCTTGATTCAGACTAGGGAGCAGGGTACAAAGTCCCAAATTTTTCTTTGGCACTTTCAATCCACATTCTAAGGGGATATTTTTCCATGTTCATTTTCACATGTACAATAAAATGCTATCTTGTTCTATTTTTTTATTCTTATTTTCAAAAATTTTGTGAAGGAGATTAAAACAAAGAAATTTTCATCTTCAAAATTTTGTGACCAAACCCTCAAGACTTCCTAAGTAATTTTGGGTTGCTGGCCTTTGAATATAACTTCCGCAACATGACCTAAAATGCATCCCGTCATTTTTGGGTAATTTTACGTTCCAAACTAACTACTCAACAAATCAGTTTTTCTTGGCATGTCAAACATCAAATGACTTTTGATATTTTCAGAAACATTATACTTGATTTAATGCAAATTCTGAGTCAGTGGTGTACAGAATACAAAAAAATTCCAAGTCGGTGGGTACCCACTATTCTATTGTTAAAATGCCATTATATGTTAACTCACTGTATGTCTTTTGTATTTGTGGCTAATACGTATAATTATTTTGTTTTGTTTAGGAGGAGCCTGTTTGTTGAACTGGAGGTGGTTGGCTTACTTGATCTTTTGTTTTGAACTTTTGAAATTAAGGCAGAAAGTTACCGTCAGCATCGACGCATTTCATCGTTTGGATGATAAAATAAGTTCTATTTGATACGATTTCTCAATTTTCTTGCACTTTGATGTTAATTGAATGTGTGAAAAGAAAACATACTTTTATCTTTGGTTGTCTCTTAGTCCTCTTGTGGAAAGGATTTCACATCTCAAACAGTGCGCCGAAGTTGAATTTTTCATAAGGCAAAACTGAATAATGGGCTAGGTCTCGTAGTATTTGCATTTGAATATTCCGTACGCGTTTACAATAAATCGTTCGCCTAAGAAAAACTGTGAATTTTGTTTTATACGAAAACTTCGTGATCTTTATTTGGGTTTCGGTGATCCCTTTCCAATTAAGAGGAAGCATAAAGTTTTTACAGAGAAAAATTGAGGTTTATATTCTTGCAGATTTATGATTTGTAATGTCATGATTCCGAGAAGTTGTAAGCTACAAGTAAAATATTATTAAGGAATGTTGCATGTCAGGTTTATGTATCTATATATATAAGCCTATTGCTTCTTCGTCCACCCCACAGTTAGTAATTGCATCCCACGGTACTAGGAAAGTACTCAAACACCTTTGACTGTTGCATTGCACTATACCACCACTTTCACCGCTTTTACCACTGTCATCGCTGCATTGCTGTTGGCAGAGGAAGAATTAGAGAAGAAGAACGCTGCTCAAGAAAAAGAGTGATTGTAGAAAAACCTTGTTTCGAATTTCATAATGCGTTTCATGAGGTTCGAAAAAGAATTTTTGGAATATATTTGATGCATGGATATTCTGAAAGACTTATTCTCGAAGGTAGTATATGAGTTGACTGTTTCTTCGCACACTACTCCACATTTCTCTTTATATCCTCACATTTTTTTTAAAATTTTAAAATTATCTTTTTCATTTCAAAAAATCTTATATTTTTTTTTTCAACAAATTTTGAAATCTATTGAAAAAATTTCCACGTTTTTAATCAATTTTGAAATTCGTTAAAGTTTAAAAGAAAATTTCAATAAATAGTTATTTCGGAACGTGAGAGTATAGGGAGAAATGTGGAGTGGTACAACGAGAAACACTCTTATAAGTTCTAGAAAGTTTTTGGGAAAATTTCATACCAAAAAATTCAAAAAACTTGTTCCGAAAAGCTTCCAAAATATAAAATATGAATCACTTTTTTGGAGGGCAAAATAGTCATTTCCGAAGTTTGAGGGATGCCCAAAAAATTGAGGGTGCAGGAAGTAAAAGCTCGACTATAAGTTACAAGTTACTTCCTCGGCCCTGTAAGATACCTTAGTAGCCTTCATTTTATTGCTCGTATAGACTTATTTTTGCTACTTTTCTTTTGGGTCATCTCAGTATTACATTGAAAAGAAAAAACTAAAAGGGAAACTACTACACTTAAGCATGTTTTACGTGTTAAGGTTAAAAATTGGTTGTATTATGGGGGTGGGGTGATTACATTAATTTTTTGTGGTGTATTGTGATTAGTTAGTTAGATTAGATGAGGTCGGAGTTTAATTACATTTTACAATATGCCCNCATTTATTGTACTTAACTAAACACTAACTTTAGCATCAAAATGTCATAGATAACAAACCAAACAAACAAAAGTAAATAAGACAAACGAACAAAAGTAAATAAGACAAACGAACATAAAGATGATGATCGACTTATGATATTATAAGAAAAATTTATATACTAAGTGTAGTCTTATTCTTACCAGAACACAAATTATGATTATTTATTTATTTATTTAATTGTACAAAATGTAATGAAGAGATAAATCTCAAATTTAAGAAATAGGTTGTGAAACTGAATTATTTGAATTACAATATAAAAAGGTTGAAATTTATAAGAAAATTAAATGTAACTTATTTATAGAATTTATCCTTACTTGGATATTGTGTATTAATATCTATACTCTTAATAGAGATATTTGATTTTGTAGATAAATGTTTTTTCTTACTCATTTTTATCTTATTAATGTAAATTATTTTATTTTTAAAATAATATAATTATTTTTATTTTAAATTTAAATAACTATCTATAATCTACACCTAATTGATTTTGTAATCGTCTTAGGTTTCATCATTATTAATGTAAATTATTTTATTATTTTACCTTTTAAATTTTATAATTATTTTTTAAAATTTAATTAAATGTCTATAATATTATTATAAAAATTATTTATTTTATATATTATTTTTTAGTAATTATGATACAAATGAATTCTTTTTGTTATCATAATTAGAAAAGAAAAAAAGAGAGTTGACTAACTATATAAATGTAACAGCATAGGGTTAGAAAATGCTAACATGGCCCAGATTGAATCGTGGAAATAAAAATCTGGGTGTTACTCCCTTCACCACCACATTTTCTCCCTCCACCTCCCCAATTCTATTACATATTTTTTAAATTACAAAATTAACCTTTTATAATTACATAAATAACCTTTTTATTTTTTAATTCTAATTATTTACTTTAACCCTAAAATCTATCTTTCTACCCCTTCTCACCCACCTCCCAACCCCTCAGATTCTCACCTAAACTCCATCAGATTTGTTTCTCATCTTCCATTTTTCCTCACAAGGTTAGTGATGATATTTTTAATTTTTTTTAAATGCAATGCATATATATCTGTGTTGTGCTCTGTGTTGTGTTGTGCTCTGCGTTTTTTTGCTGTGTGCGTGTGTTGGGAGAAAGGAAGAAGATAACCAGGCCAAAAACGGATGTCAGGTATCCGTTTGGATCTGAAACGGATGTCGATATCCGTCGACGGATGTTGACATCCGTTTTCCCTTAAACGGATGTTGACATCCGTTGACGGATGCTCACATCCTTTTAAAGATTATACGATTTATATTTTAGGGTTTTGTTACGCACCTTTACGCCTCTGAACCTCTCACGCCTCTGAACCAGCACCTTGAAGCACCACCACACTGTGAGGAAAAATGGAAGATGAGAAACAAATCTGATGGAGTTTAGGTGAGAATCTGAAGGGTTGGGAGGTGGGTGAGAAGGGGTAGAAAGATAGATTTTAGGGTTAAAGTAAATAATTAGAATTAAAAAATAAAAAGGTTATTTNGGGTTTGTTGCAGAGCTAAGCAATGGCGATGAGGAGATTCTTCAACGAGATAAGGGGGAAGAAGTTGAGCGAGGTTCCAGAGCACGTGAAACCGATGATGTCGTTGGGTTACATAAAGAGAGCAATTCAGCGTGGCATGGACAACTACCACGCCAAGTACATCGAAACCAGTTCCCCCGATCCCATCTTCCATGTCTGCTACGGCGGTATGATCTTCTCCTACCTAGTTGCTCTCCCTCACGAGCGCCGCCACCTTGAGCACCGCCAGCAGCACGCTCAGCAGCACCACTGATTCGTTCATTCAGGTACCTTTCTGAATCCTCGCTGTTTATTCTAGTTTTTGAGGAATTAGATAGATCAGATGTTTCGGTTATTTGTGTATGTTGATTTCAACGTTTACGCTGTTTTCGTTTGTAATTGAGAATTTCATTACCAACGGGATCTAGGTTTGTCGAATGGGGGTAGTATGGGAAATATGTCACGTTTAATTTCCGAAGTCTCGAACATGATTGTCTTCAATTCTTGTGTGGAATCAACAGAAAAAATGTCACATTTTTTTGTTTATGTCGAAGTTTTTTTATGGGACAGGGAACATGACAGCCAATGGCATTGAAAATGGAAAACAAACCACACGTTATAAGTTTCGAGGTGTTTTTGTTGAGGGTAATCAGACTAGTCTGTTTTCCTTAAGATCTGATCATTGAAACTTTTTCGATTAATTTTTCAGAATACATTCTGCTTTCGAAAATTATTGGTCGGTGATGATAGTTGCATACTGCAGGATTTATTCTACTTTCAGAATACATTCTGCTTTCGAAAATTATTGGTCGGTGATGATCGTTGCATACTGCAGGATTTATTTTGCTATTAATGGACATTACTTGTACTTGTTGACTGTATGCGAGTGCTGTTTTGTTTTATATTTGGTAGTTGATATCTGAGCGATTTATTCTGGCCGTATTGGAGATGGTTGGGTTGCTTGATATTTTTGTTTTCAAAGAATATGCGAAATAAGAGCTGTAAGTTACCCTCTGCTTTCATTATTTAATTGGTCAGAATAGATGGTAAAATTGGTTATCTTTGATACAATAATGAATTTTCTTGCATTTAATGATAATTTTGTGTGTGAAAAAGAATGTAATTTTTTAGTTGGTTGCGGTTCTTTAGGCCTCTTGATGCGGTATTTCATTTGCAATTTAACTTGTTGGATGTTAAAGCTGAATAATTATCTCTTTTAAAGGCCTCCTAATTTTAATACGTTTTTGATTGCTATTTGCATTTGAAGCTTGTACATTTCGTGTTCATGATAAAAAAAGTTGTTTGTGGGCTTGCAGAACCCAAAATATGTGATATTTAGTTTTTCCAAACACATAATCATCTTGTCACCTATTAGGTTTTAGAAATTTAGTCACTGAAGAAAAATGTAAAAGGTTATTGCTACAAAAAATATTCATGTTTGGAAATGTTAATTTAACAAATTTTGTATGACATCTCTCTCTTCTCTTCTCATAAATTGTTTCACATATCTAGAATCTCAAATTTGTGAAGAGGATGTTAGGACATAAATAACATTGTTAGGAAGCCCGTAGTGGTCAAGGGGTGTGTGTTGAGTTATCACAGTTATTTGTAGGATCTTTTTATGAGTATCTGTTAACAGTGTGTTAGTTAGTTAGGATTCTTGGACTGAAATTATTAGGAGGGGAGAGAGATGGAGTATTAGGTAGTATAAAGGGGTGAACTAAGGGAAGGAGTTCATTGGCAGTGACGGGTAGAGAGACAAGGATTATCAGCTTACTGGAGTTGAGATGAGACAGTTTCTTTTGTAATTATTGTAAGCATCCCATATCTATGATCTCCAATCTTCTTGATTCAGACTAGGGAGCAGGGTACAAAGTCCCAAATTTTTCTTTGGCACTTTCAATCCACATTCTAAGGGGATATTTTTCCATGTTCATTTTCACATGTACAATAAAATGCTATCTTGTTCTATTTTTTTATTCTTATTTTCAAAAATTTTGTGAAGGAGATTAAAACAAAGAAATTTTCATCTTCAAAATTTTGTGACCAAACCCTCAAGACTTCCTAAGTAATTTTGGGTTGCTGGCCTTTGAATATAACTTCCGCAACATGACCTAAAATGCA